GTCAGTATGAGCCAGGAACAATACACGCATAGTTTTTCCAAGCACATCCACACCCAGCCCTTTTGTCTGCAGAGTCTGAAACGATTAGTCCTGTGACTTTCCCCTTCTGATTTCAGCCTTTTTGCAGCAGGCACAGATCATGGGTATTCCTGACCTATCTCAGCTCTAGGTCCCCAGTCACCAATCAAACTTATTCACACAGCCCAAACTTCTATGTGGGGTTGCCATGCACACAGGTGGAAAGTCCGCAGCTGCTAGCAGGCATCATGGACACCACTAGAGTAGTCAAGAAATGTCCTTCATCTGAATGATGCAGGGAGCCAGCTATACTCTTCCTGACAGAGGCAGGGGGACTCTAAGGTTAAGGACAGGAGTATGGCAGGTCACTGGGCCATTCTTCAGATAGACCCTGAAACATCCAGCTGGTGATGATGATTCAGAGATTTCCCTGGCCTATCCCTGCTCTTTGTCCTGTATTCCTCTCCTCCCCACCTTCTCTCCTTTGGGCTCTTCCCCCCTAGCCTGAACTCTGGACTGAGAGCCCTGACTGCCATCCTGCCTGGGACCCTCCGGACTTGGTGCTGCATATGGTCTCTCTCCTAGATTTTGGCAATTGCTCTCCCCTCAATCTTCCAATGCCCCTCACTGGCTGAGGGTGTCCAGTTAGGTCCCCTTCCCTGGCTCCTGAGCAAATCAGTGCTTCTCAAAGTAAAAGGGAAGTGTTTTATTGACATTTCAGAATTTCAGGATGTTAATTCATGCCCAAAGGAATCCTGTTACTCAGGACATTACTGCATAAATCCAGCTTTATATTGGAGAGGAATGAAGTTAGTGTTATTTTTTATTGTGAGGTCGAACCCTGGGTTCAAAATAAGACCACCGGAGGCTGATGATTGATTAAAAAAGCAGGCAAGTATTTATTGAAAAAACTGGCCAGGATGGCCGCGGGAGCACCAAACAAAGGTGGACTCCACATGACCGCACAGTTTCAGGTGTAGTCAGTCCTTTTAAAGGCTCAAAGCACAGGAATTTTTATTTGTTCTAAATTCTAAATCCTAAAGACTACATTCTAAAGACTGGGGTCAGCCCGCAGGGGCACGGTCATTCCCAGTCACATCCTGCTGGACTTTGGAATGTGGCCCTATCTTGTGATAGCTGATAACACAGAAGCAGAGCTCAGATGTTATCTAAAGTTTCTATCTCTGAAGGTTATCTACAGTTTCTATCTCTGAAGGTTACTGAGTCAGTGGGAATCAATCTCCTGTGGTCCTGGTCCCAGGCAAGGGAAAATTGCCTTAGCCTCCAGGTCTCCACCTGAAAGCTAAGGTAAATATCTTGTGTTTAATCAGGTGCAGGATCCAGACAAAAGAGTTAAAATTCAAACAGCAGTTTTTTACCTGAGATGTATAATATATTCTTAATGTCTTATTTAAATTTTCAATCTAATTTGAAAATGGAGGAGATACAAATTAAAACAAGAGTGAGGAAATATTTTTGCCCACAGTTCTAATAAAAATTTAAAGGAATCCTAAAACACATAAAAGTGAAAGATACTCACATAAAAAATGAGCATATGGCCGAAACATAAAAAATGAGCATATGGCCGGTTTGGTTCAGTGGCTAGAGCGTCAGCCTGGAGACTGAAAGGTCCCAGGTTCGATTCTGGTCAAGGGCATGTACCTTGGTTGAGGGCACATCCCCGGTAGGGGGTGTGCAGGAGGCAACTGGTCGATGTCTTTCTCTCATCGATGTTTCTAGCTCCCTTCCTCTCTGTAAAAAAAAAATCAATAATATATATATATATATATATATATATATATATATATATATATATAAATTTTTTTAAATGAGCATATGAATGGTATGGCATTTTTGAAAATTTCAGCAATATTTATAAAAATCTGAAATATTCAGACCCTTTGCATTTTAAGCTTTTAACCATGACATTAGCTCTGGTCACCTCTGAGTAGGAGGTTGAAATTAGGAAGGATTTTACAAAGGGGACAATTATCTACTTTTACAATTTTTTCCCCAAGAGAATACATGCATTATATACAGGATTGTGCTTGTAATTTAATTATTTAAATACACCTAATAGCAGATAAAATTGCTGTGTATTAGTCAGTTGAAGTAACTGCAAGCTGATGAGACAGAGGAAAACTGAAATTTGAATGGCTTAAAGTAACAAGTCTTTTTGTGTGCATATAAACTTGGATGAGTTGGGCAGGAGATCTCTTTTAATGGGTGACTCAGGGATCTGGGACACTTCAAGACTGTAGTCCCACCAATTCAACACAAGCATGCTATGTTTGCTGTTGAATGAAATAGAAAGGCAGGAACAATCATAGTAGCTCACAAATGTCTGGGTGTGACAATATTTCTGACCAGATCTCAGTGACAATAGGTAGATGTCCCTTCCTAACAACAAGTGGACTGGCAATGTAGTTTTCTGATGGGCCCACAAAGAGAGGAAGACATAATAGGATGAGACCTTGTAAACTCTTCCATACACTGTTACATATTAGGTGCTCAAAAATTATAATTTGTTATGACAATAACCTTCATTTCTTGGAAAAATTTCTGAGGTCAAATTTGCCTTAAATTCTCCAAATTTTTCAAAGACTACCATTGACAGGAGATTTCAACTACAGATCACATGTAATTTTCATAGGATCCTATAAATATCAGCTGAGTGGGTTTGCCATGTTCACTCAATAACATTTTCTACATCCCCCTTTGAGATAATGTATATAATCTCAGTTGGCTGATAATTTTCTCTTTCTTCTTGATGCATGACCAAAATCTTGTGAGTTTCTGCTACCCTCTACATGACTGAACATACCCGAACAGCTATACAGGTGCCATCGGGTACAATGAAAATGATTCTTTTTCTGGGGTACAGACACACAGACATGAAACAGTTGGGGGAAAGATAATTTTTTTTTTTCATTTGTAATTAGGATGAGCATGTCTACATAGAAACCATTTTTCACCTACAAGGGGGCTCCAAGTTTGGGGGAATTTAGCCTCTGTAGATGTTTGCTCCACAGTGATTTCCATGGTCTTTCTGCATCTACCACTTAGGAAGGAAGCATTGGAATTTGACCAGCGAGGTAAGCTGACTCATCCATGCATATGTTTGATGGCCAGTTTCAAATAAGACACCCCATTAAACTCCTGCTGTAATCAGCAGGTATTCTAACAAACCTTCCCTCTAACTTCAGGGTTACACCCCCAAATTTGTAGATTATGGGCCCAATCATAATGTATTCATTGATTCATTTGGAAAGCATTTTAAGAATGTGCTGAATACATCCCCAGGATGTTCAAGTATCTAAAGGTCACTGTTCAAATTCAAAGACATTTTTCCATCAGAGTGGTTCCAGGGAGAGGAATGGATGGCCAGTACTTCTGCAGGGAGTAGAAATCTTCTAAGCTGGGGGCAGGGAATGTGAGGATATAGGGTAGGGGTGTTGAACTCAATCAGAGAAGGGGCCAAAATCTAAAATCCAGCCTAAATCGCGGGCCGAATGGTTTACTGAACAGTCATAAACTGTCATTGTGATGGAAACGCAGCGGAGTGCAGTGATGACAGCGCGGTGCGGGCCACATTGCAAGGCCTGGCGGGACGGATTTGGCCCGTGGGCCTTGTGTTTGACACATGTGATATAGGGGGTAGGAGATTCAGGGCTGTTCCACTGTGAGTGGCTGCAGCCTGGTCAGCGGGCCAGGATCCAGGGATGGACTAGAAGGCACACAGGGAAAGCCCAGGGGAAGGGTGCTGTCATGTGGAGAAATGCCAACATCTCAGCTCTCAAGGGACCCTGGGACTTGGGCAAAAGGAACCTTGGTAAATAAAAGCCACAGACAGTACCCAGATTGCATTTGACTCGCACTGTCACCTTCCTTAGACCTGCTTTTAGTGCCTTGGCCCCAGGGTCCCTCTTTTTATTTCCCGAGAGACATCATGCAGAACTGAGAAGAAAAATGATTTATGAGTCAGAAGGTTAGACACAGTTGGGATGGGTGTGAACAGCATGGACTTTAGATGGAATTCAGACCAGGGATCCAACCTCTGCTTGTCCCTTACTAGCTATGTGATCCTGGGGATATTAGCTGGCCCTGAGAGTCTCAGGGTCTTCCTCTTTGAAGTAAGTGGGTCTGATAAGCCCTCTTGTCGGACCCCAAGAATGTATGGAGTTCTGGTAAAGTACCCCACACAGTGCCTGGCAGAGATCAGAACTGTGAAGAATGGCAGTTATTTCTGATATCATGTTTATCCCAGACTCTCCCACTCTCTCCTCTGGCACTTGTGATTAGCTATTTGTTATCAAGTTCATATTAGAGAATATATAACTCAGTATGGAATAAAACACCCAACTGTCCAAAAAGTATGGTCCACAAATAAAACTAAGTAAGTTTTCCCAATTTATGGATTTATGTTGAAATTCAGGTGTGGAGTGTGGGGAGACTTCACAGCTGGACACAACACAAAGATGCCAAAAAGAGAATCTAGGAACAACTCTTTCCGTCCATCCAAGCTGATCTTTCATCCAAACAAACGCTTTCATTCATTTTGCCCCCACCCAAAATCAACACCTTGATAATGATTGGCCAGATCACACTCAAGATCATTAACATTCAATCCCAATTAGGCTGTGGGCTGTGGCTCTCCAAGGCCATCATTACTCATGGCCCAGTAACTGTATTTCTGTAGAAATCTGTGCAGATGGGTATAACATGCCTAGTGATCATACTGTCCAATGACACTGAGACTGCGTGCAGGAAACCACGCTTCCTAACCAGGTGGAGATTTCCCTCTGGTTTATCCATGATCCCAAAGGAACCTGTCAGGACAATGCTCCATTTCACACTTTCCTCTCACACCCAGACACACAATGTGTTGCTGCCACCCCCAGCTGCCTTACAATCAACCCCCGCAGAGGGAATCACATTTTCCCAAATACCCTGGCTCAGGCCATGCACAGTTGAGAGCTGTTCCCTGGAGGCCCACCGCCTCACCTGATGTTACTTGTTCTGTAGGACTTAGGGGACCCCTAACCCCTTCCTGATATGACTTCAGCTTCTACATCATCATCCTGTGTGTGGGTGTGCCCTGCTTATGTTGGTGTCCCCACTACTAACACAGGGCCTTCCAGAGGACATAGGCTCAGTGAATATCTGGGGATTAAAGGAACCACTGAGCAGGGGTTCACTTTATTCAGATGAAGTCCTTCCACCACTTTCTTGCCAGAACCAAGGATCCTTAGATAAGTTGTTTCATGAAAAGATAGACAAGCAAAGAAGCAAAAATGAACCATATTTTCCTTTTATTTTTCTAATGCTTAACTCCATTGATTGTACTGCCAAGTTTTTTCACATTTCCAATGAAATCCTTTTATCATGCCATGTTATCTAGTTTGGGATCACAAAGGAGGATTGGAAGTGTCCCAACTTGCATTACACAGTAGCAAATCTCTTACTCTTGAACTGGACATGTACAAATATACATGTGACCAATGTCATTTACAAACTTACATGCTAAAAGCTTATGAAAACTTCTATGAAAAGGAATAACATTAGAAAATATCCTTAAAAATTCACAAAGTAATAAAGCAAACATTTCTCAACAATCATAGGAGCTCAAACCATTCCCTGAGCCTCACTAGTGCTTTCTCCTCAAACGCAGAGTTGAAAATGGAATGCACTTTATGCCCATCAAATGAAGTTAACGAACATGGGTCCAAAAAGTGCCTGGGTGCAACTCTGGCTCAGGCAAAGTGGTTCTCATTACACTCAGGCCCTTCAGACAGGAATGGGAAGGAGCGGGGATCCCTATCATTGACCCTGAGCACAAACTTGAGAGCTTTCGATATGGTGGTCTCAGCATGGGCCCTGGGACCCCATAGGAACTCATAGCATGCAGGATCGCTATTGGGCACCTGGCGGTATACCACGTATTGCTCCTGCACCCAAATTTTAGTGATGAGCTCCCTGGGCTCCCCATAGATCCAATGCTTCTTACCATCATGGACCCCTAAAACATTCAGTGCTTCCCAGACTTTCTCCTCAGGGGCACAATCACCCTCTGCAGCAATCACCCACAGAAGCGTGACCAGGAGACCGGTGTTGGGATATTTGTTCCCATTGCTCACCATGCCATCATAGGAGAGCCCCAAAGCGGTGACCATTACATAGGTGTGGGCACTGGGGCCCACTTCCTTCACAACTACACCAAATACCAGCTTCATGCACTCAGTGGCTGCTCTGAAGATCTCAGGGAAGTGGTCATGGTGCTCTTTGATGACACTACTCAGAATTTCTGCCCTGGTGGTTGGCTCCTTTTCGCGATACTTTAGGAGCAGGAACTCCACCACTTTCATCATCTTTGAATGCAGTGCTTTTTGGAGCAAAATATCTGCATAATCTTCAGGGCCTCCCTCAGTGTTTGGATCCTCCTCGTGGCTGCTGGAGCTCTCATCTTCAGAATGGCTCCATGGCAAGGCTGCCAGGGCCTGAGGGGAGGGGCAGGCAACCTGAGGACTCTGAGGAGAACTTGGTGTCTCAACAGCAGATACCTGCTCTAGGCTTTCAATAAACAGGACTGAGGGGGAGGAAGACAGAGAGGAGTAGAGAGACAAAGCCTCCTCCGCCTCATGTTCCTGTTCCTCCACCATCTGCAAAACCCATAAGAACTCCTCCACCAGCAGGTCAGGCGACTCCCTTGGTTCCTGACGGTGTTCCTCAGGCTCACTCATATGATGGCCAGGCATGATGATTCGTGCTGAGACACTGAGCAAGAGTGGACAGAAGATGGGCAATGAGGAACAATGGGCCTGGGGGAAAGGGTGGGTGTAAGAAGCATGAGTTGAGAAACAAACTCCAGGCTGCTCTGACAAAGGTGACTTATAGGTCTCTCCTTTAGGGGTGTACATGGGCCTCACAGGGCTCACTCCTGAGCATCCTGCCCACTAAGAACCTGAAGTAGGAAGTGACATGACTGCTCAGGGTATAGAAGGCACAGCACAGGGTTCTGTAACTGATGGTGGGGTGTGGAGATGTCAGGCAATGTGGGATCCCATCTGACATGGGTGAGGAGCCTGTTGGGACATTTTCATGGTTGGGACCTCACCATAATTCCTAGCACTTCCTGGCCTTCTGCTGCTCTGTAACGAGAGAATATATAGAGTAGACCAAGTCCTTCACCTCCTCCAATCCTCGGGCTCTGCCTGAGAGAATGAATGGCCACATCAGCAGGCACATGGCAAGGACAGCAATGGGACCCCAGAGCTGACAGGAAGGGTGGCAGGACTCTGTGAGGTCCTCTCTGTTGTGGGTGGAAGGTTCCTTATTGCACATGTAGGATCTTCACCTGTCTCCTGCCAGTGCCTGGCCCCTCACTGCCTTCTTCTGGCCTGAGGTTAAGCTCTCAGAATAAGACCACACACACCTGACACTTCAGTGAAGAAACAGAGGGGGCCCCATATGTGGTACCTCTCCCAGAGGGTCCAGAAGGGGTGACTGAAGATATGGGTTCATCTATCCTGGGATAAGGCTCTGATCATTTCGCACCATAGCACACTGCAGGGTTTCAGACAACTCTCTTTGCTGACTGAGACTATCTACCTAGACTTAGGCTTTACCTTACTTAGATGCAGTAGTAGGAAGTGAGCCAAGCTAACCCAAGCACTATTCTGAGTTTCCCCACTGCTGACAGAAGAGGCAGGGTAGGTCTGGATTCCCATGTGCTCTTGTTCCCCTCAGTGCTCACCTTGATTCCTGGCAGGAGCTGGAACTCGTCTCTCTGTTGACAAAATATTGACCCAAAGGATGACCGATGGGTAGTCTCACATCAAGGTCCTCACCTTCCTGAGAGACCCAAGACAAAAATGAACAGGTGCTCCATCTGCCCCCACCCCTGCCTAGGTTCCCAGGCAACTGACACCAGGGCCTGCCCTGTCTGTTCCAGGTACAGAGTTCCCTTAGTCTGGCCTCAAGGTACTTGCCTTTCTTCCTGGATAGGCCTGGATCTGAATCCAGCTGACCCCATTTCACCCTGAACAACTGTCCTCAATGAGAAATGCTCACGAGGAGCAGGCATGTGGAAAGGGAGAGCATGTCACACCCAGGTACCCTGCCTGGGGAATCTGGATGCTGAGGACAGGACACTCCCTGATGCTGAGGGCTCTCTTGTTTTCTCAGGGAGCACATAGCTGCAGTTTTCTAGAGAAAGCACTCAGACCATTAGGACCCTTCACCTCCTCTTTTCCTGAATTCAAGCCATCCCCTCTGACCAAGGCCCTGTCCTTACTGAGTGCCCTGAGACAATAGTGAGGAGGAACCACCTCTGCAGACCCATGCTAGGACTTCCCAGGGCTGACAGCAGCACAGACTGGGTTCAGGGCACCCATTGTCTGGAGTGTGGCATCCTCCTTCCTGCCCAAGCTTCCCATGTTCACTCAAGAAGTGCCTGGGATCTTTCCCTTCAGCTGAACTAAGAATGACTACTGCAGGCCATGTCCACCATCTCTCTGAGACCTCCAAGGTGAACTTGAGGACATACCACATTGACTATCACGCCTGAGTGGCCCAGTTGTGCCAGCAGAGGCTATGCCAGCTGGTCCCTGTTTTTGTTGGGGTGGGAGGTACCATCATCCTGCCTCAAGACCCACACTTTGAATACCAGCAGTGCCTGGGACACCTCCCATTGTTGTCCTGAATCCAGCACCATCAGGACAATGCGCTCACCTCCCTTTGCCACTGCTCAGGCAGAAGTCTGGAAGCAACCCAAATCTACAGGCCTAGCATGAGGCCTCCAGGTGCTGCTGACAGGAACAGACAAACTGAGGACACTTATGACACTGGCCCAACCTCAGGCATAATTCCAGGTGAGCCCTAACTCGAGTCCTTACCTGGTGTCCTGGAAGAGCCCTGCAGCCCTTCTTTTCCCTCCTGGAGCTGACCCCTCAGCCCTCAGGGGGTGAAGTCCCCTCTTCTTCTTGAAGGATCCTCACCGTGACACCTGGCTGCAGCTGGAACCTTGTCTCTGTCAACCTGAGATACCCAAGTCCAGATGAAATCATGTGGTCATCGATCAGTGGCCTCCCAGGTTTCACAGTAAGTGTAACATGGGGTATCTCTGTTGTGGGGTCCCAGGTCCCTCAGTCTTCCCTTTGAATGTTCACCTTGACTGGGCAAGACCCCGATCCTCCCCTCTGCCACATATGTTGTTCCCCCTGAATTCCCTGGGCCGACATCAGGTCTGGGCTTCTGTGGTTCCTCTCTGCATGGCCACCCACCACAGTGCTTCCCAGGACCTTCAGCAGGGCAGACTTCTGTGGATTGCCCTCTGCTTAGGGTTGCTGGATTCCCTCAGTCCTCCCTTGCGGCCCTCCTTGACCGTTCCCTCTGCCCACCTGAGACCCAGATCCTTACACCAAGCCCCAGAGCCTGTCAGACCTGGATGCAGAACTCAGGAAAATGACCTTGAGTCTGGGCAGTGCCTCTGCATCCCAGCTGTGGATCTGATGCCCTACACTTCTTACCAGGTTTCCACTCTCACTCAGACCTGAATGCTGAAGTCAGGATACACCACATGTGGTCGCCCTCCCTGCGGCCTTCCAAGGCTGGGAGCAAGGTGGGGTTCTTTGTGGCCTCTACATTGGGATTTTGGGTCCCCTCAGTCCTGACACAGGGTCCTCACTTTGACCCTGGCAGGTCTTGATTCCTTCCTTTGCCGACCTGATGCTTGTTCGTTATATGCTCTCAGAGCCTGATTTGAAGGCATCAAATGCCACTTGAGTCTGGAAAGTACCTCTGCCCTCCCCTCTGTGGATCTGAGTTCCTACACCTTATACCAAGTCCTGAGTCTCAGTCCTGGATACAGAAGTCAGGAAACTCTGCACTTGGTCTTTTACCAGGGAGCTTCCCAAGACTGATAGCAGGGTAGGGCTTTATGAGGTCCCCTAGTTGTGGGGCCCTGGGTGCCCTCAGTCGTCCTTTGGCTGTGCTCCTTGCGGTAAACCCCAGCGTATCTCAAACCTCCATGCAGAAGACAGGAGACAAATGAAGGGGTCATCTGACATGGGGTCTCCCATGGCTTGTAGCAGGAGAGGGCTTTTATGGGGTCCCCTACATTGTGGGGTCCAGGGTCCCATCTGTTCTCCTTCAGCGGACCTGTGGCTCTGCTCCTTACACAGAACCCCAGAGTCTCTCAAACCTGATGCAGAGGTCACCCCAACCTGTAGTCACCCTGCCCACTCATCTTCCCTAGACTCACAATCCTGGTGTCCAGTGTCCCCCAATCTCCCTCAGGGTCCACAAATTGACAGCATTAGGACTTGGGGTCCCCCGGCTGCTGCCTGAAGCCCTGCTCCTTCCACAAAACCGCAAGTGTCTCTCAGACCCTCAACTCTTCATCAGCAGGACCTGGGGTGCCCCCTCTTCTGCCTGTAGCCCTGCTACTCCTACCAAACCCCCAGTGTCTCTCAGACCCAATGCAGAACTCACAAAGGTCAATGTGTGATGTCACCCTCCACAACCCGGGAGACCTGCCCATGGACACTGTTCTGGGGTCCAGGGTCCCCAGTCTCTCTCCGGGTCCCCCCACTGACTCCGGACAGGTCCTGGACACCCTCTGCCGACCTGACACTCGGCCATGACACGGAGCCCCCGAAAGTCTCCACCCGGAAGAAGCGGGAGTCAGTCCTCGCCGCTGGTGGTCACCCCGCACCTTGGGGCTCCCGGGACTGACTGCTCTGGGGCCCGGAGTCACCTTGTCTCCCCCCAGGGACGGACGGCCATCACCATGAGGCCTGCAGGCCCTGGCCCTCCCTCTGTGAACCGGGAGCACAGGTCCCCACACGAAGGCCTCAACCCCGACACCCGAAGGGCGGTCCGTGGGCCTCAGTGCCCAGGGCTCCCGGCAGGGGCTGAACTAGACCCCAGGGACCTCCGTGGGGTCCTCACCCGGGTTCCAGGCAGAGTCTGGTTCCCGCCGACCTGAGAGCGCTCCCCTCAGCTTGTCCCCTTTGCCGGCCCTAAGCTGGCTTCTCAAGATGGCGCTCAGCTCCCTGGATTCTCAGGTGGATGTTATGAGGTCACTTCCGGGAACCACTTCTGGGGTCGCTCAGGATTCTGTCAGGGGCGGAGTTCCGATCCCAGGGTGCTCAGCGGCCACGACCGGTCCCCACCTGGGCTGGACGGCTGGGAGCCCACCCTGTGCTGACCCGGGTCTGTGCCCCTCAGGCCAATTGTGGGCCTCCCCCAGGCCCCCAGGATGTGGGGCGGGAGAGCACCGCCTGACAGCTCCACCTGAGACACCCGGATCTGACCCTGACTGCCTCCCCTCCCCTTCCCATGGTGTTTCTTCACCAGACAGGCTGACACTTTGGAAACCTTGTGTTCTTAATGTTCCTTTTCATTAAAGCCTCTGAGCTATAGCAGAGGTTTGGAGAGGGCCTGCGGTTTGGTGTTAAGTCTACCTTTGCTGGTCGTTGCAGGCTTTTTCCCTTTTGATCTTCATTCATAGTAATTATTGGGTTTTGCAACTCTACCTATTTTGTATACCTTTTATTTTATGCATACATGTTTATACATGTATATATGTATAAATTTGCATATATATTGTATGTGTACACATATAGCCTAAATGTGGATCAGGTGTGTTTACATATACATACATGCCCATGCCACATACATAAATACACACACACACACACAAACATATATATGCAACTCTATGTCCTATGTATTTACATAGAGTAGACAAGTT